CTAACATCTGCTAGTTTCCAGGGCTGCTGCTAAGAAGTCATTCCAATACCCACTCCTATGAATGTACTCCAATGTTTTCCTCTTTACTTTTTCCTTCTGGCTTTAACTGAAGTATGAGTAACAAAAACTGTATAAAGCTAGAGTGTACAGTATAATTTACTACTATATGTACACATTGGAAAATGGTTGCCACAACCAACTAATTAATAGATTCATCACTTCATATACATATCTTTTTATGTGAGAGGTAAGAATACTTGAGAGCTACTCTTTTATATATTTCAAGTATATGATAATTATTAAATATAATCACCAAACTGTAGATTAGGCCTATAGTACATATATATCTTGTAAGTACAAAGGAACCGCACTGTTTAACTATTATCTCCCCTTTTCACCTACTTCTCATTCTCTGGTAACCATTTACCTTCTGTCACTGTAAGTTCAACTTTTTTTTTAATTCCATATGTAAGTGAAATCATGCAACAATTGTCTTTCTGTATCTGGCTTTTTTCACTTAGCATAATGGCCTCAAAATATATCCACATTGTTGCAAAGGTTAGCATTTCCATCTTCTTCAGGTGAGAATTTCCTATTAAATACACACATCACATCTGCTTTATCTATTCATTTGTTGGCAGACACTTAAGTTGTGTCTTTATCCTATTAATCACTGTAAATAATGGTGCAAATACAGATAACTCTTTGATATAGAGATTGTATTTCCTTTCGATACTGTGATTTATAAGAAATATTTTATCATAACCCCATTTCCTGGCACCTAGCTCCTAAAACCCCTTATGGACTCTTTTAAGTGATTAAGTGTCCTTTTCTATGGTAATGAGATGGCAAATGGCTAGGGGAACTAGGAGAGCTTCAGGATGAGGGGCTGGTACCATGGAAAACAACAAAAAGATTAGAAAGCTAGAACTTTCAGTCCCATCACCCTCATTCCTGCCACCTCTACCACAGGGGGAGAGAAGAAAGGACTGAAGGTAGAGTTAGTCACTAATGGCCAAGGATGAAACCAATCCTGGCTACCAAATCAAACTACCATAACCCAAAAAGACAGGGTTCAGAAAGTTTCCAAAATGCTGAACATGTGGAGGTGTGTGGAGGGTCAGCTACCCATATGGAAACTTCACATCCCTTCTTCACATACCTTTCCTTATGTATCTCTTACATTATACATTTATATTCTCAAAATACCCTTTCTAATAAACCAGTAATAGTAAGTAGTGCTTCTCTGCATTCTGTGAGTCACACTAGCAAATTAATTGAATCCAAGGGGGTAGCCAGCGGGTCAGAACTATAGGTAGGCACTTTTGTGGGAGCCCTTAACCTGTGAGATCTGATGCTATCTCCAGGTAGAAGTGTCTGTACTGAAAATGAATTATAGGTCATCCACTTAGTATATGCTGTAAAAACTGCTTGGTGAATGGTGATGGTGAGAAATCCTCACACATTTTAGTGACCTGAAGTTATGTATTCTGTGTTGAGAACTAGAATTAAAAACACTGGGTTTTCTTCTATCACTTAGAAGTGGACTGCAAGATCATATAGTGGATCTATTTTTAACTTTTTGAGGAACCTCTATACTGTTTTTCTATAATGATAACTTCATTTTATACTCCTACCAACACTGTGCAAGGAGGCCTTTATCCGCATAGCTTCACCAACACTTGTTACTTTTTACATTTTGATAACAATCATCTTAACAGGTATGATGTGGCATCTGATTGTGGTTTTGACTTACATTTCCATGATGATTAGTGATGTTGAGCATCCTTTTATACACAGCTGTTGATCATTTGTGTAACTTCTTTTAAAAATACCTATTCAAGTCCCTTGACTGCTATTAAATTTGGTTATTTTGCCTATTGAGCTGTACGAATTACTGACATTTTAGATATTAACTCCTTATAGGACATATGGCTTACAACTATTTCTGAATACATGCAAAAAATTTTTTTTTGTTTTTTTGAGACAGGGTCTCACTATGTAGTTCAGACTGACCTGGAAATCACTATGTAGTCCAGGCTGGTCTCAAACTCACAGCAATCCTCCTGCCTCAGCCTTCCGAGTGCTGGGATTACAGGCATGAGGCATGACGCCCGGCTTGCCGTGGTTATTATTAAGACTACATTTATTCAACATTTAAGGAGATTTTGATATTTATGGAAGGACAGTTCTTAATGTTCGTAAGATTTTATTTAAAAATTTTTATTTTACGCAAGCTTGCTTAAAATTATTTATTGCATACCAAGTTCAAACATGCAAAAATTTTGTGTGCCCTCTTCTGAAAGCCTTTCAGTGTTTTGGACTCTATCTTTCATTTTTAGAAATTATTCCTGAAATGTCTACTGATCCTACACTGTGCTCATTTTCAAGGATGAGACAATAAAAATCCAACTGGAAGCTCTAAGTACATAGAGCTGATACTCTTATGTATTGGTGGTGAGCTTTCATTTATCTAGTGATCCAAGGCGGGCTGGCCACTTCATCAGGTGACTGAAAGATCAGTATATAGATGTCTTTTCTCCTGGTTCAATCAGTTTACTAAAGAAGAAAGCCACCAATCTTGCCAGAGGTATATATAAGAGGCTGCAGGCATTTTGAGAGCCACGTAGGAAGTCTATTGTAAGATCCCAACATTTAGTTTGCAAGCATTCGTTGTTTCCACTATGGCGTGTCCTGCCCACAGCTATACGTATACCAAGCCCCATAACCAAGATAATGTAGTTTTTCTCCTGTAAGTATATTGAACCATTCTCCCTCCCCAGTTGAAGTTTTTAAAAAAATGGAGCACATTCTTTTCTCTGTACAACTTGTACAGACTCCCTGTTCCCATTTCTGTAATGATTAGCTGCTAAACCTTTTACCTCTGTTACAGAAGAATGAACTAATAACATCATAGGATAATTTACAATTCTAATTTGCAGAACTGGAGATTGTTCGTTGTCTCATCAGATATCCATTAACATGAAGAAATCTGAAAAGTTGATTCTATCAAAAACCTGTAAGGGCTGGGGATTTAGCTCAGTGGTTCCGCTGTCTGCCCTGTAAGTGCAAGGACCTGAATTTGATCCCTGTACAAAAAAAAAAAAAAAAAAACCAAAAAACCTACAAAACTACCAGCTTCTCCCCAAAGTCATTCTTCTGCAACCTTCTCCCTTATAATATCCCATAATCATGCTTTCTGGGAGAAGGTGGATTTACGGCTTTGTCCTCCACCTTCTTGGTTGGAACCTCCTTTGCTCCAAGCAGTGATGTTCAGTGTTTGATGTCTGCCGCATATCAGACGCATGAATATGATTTGGGAGTTCAGTAACATGTGGAGCTCCTGATTCTAGTTCAATCTTTTTTATAGGTGTGCTGTCCAATATGATAACCACTAGCTACACATGGCTATTTAAATTAAATCTGAATAAAACTAAAAATTCAAATTCAACGTCTCCACATACAATTTCAACTCAACAGCCACAGTGTCTACCACATTTAACAGTGTAGAAAGTGAACACTTCCATCACTGCAGAAAGTACTAAGGGGTAATACTTCTTAAAAGAGTAAACACCAAGATTCTTCTGAAGTAAGGACTGAGTAATATGGCTACTGAGCTGAGAGCAAAAATTTAAGGATCTACCTATTAGTTAGAGTAAATTCTAGGCTTCTGCTGAGGCAAGTGAGGGGCAGTGATGTGGCCATAGGGCTAAGGGTAAGAATCTAAGAGTGTAAATTTTAAATCTGTAGTGTCCAGTATGGTAGCCACCAGTCAGTCACATGTAGCTATTTAAATGTAAATTAAAATAAATCAAAACAAAATAATTGAAAAAATGGTTCCCTAGTTGTATTAGTCATATTCCAATCATTCAGTTGTATTAGTCATATTCCAATCATACAATAGCTACATGTAGGGGACTGGGGATGTAGCTCAAAGGTAGTGTATAAGGTACTGAGTTTGACCCCCAGGACATCCCCTCAAAAAAATGCCACATGCGGCAAATGGCTACATTCAGCTACCACAGATTACAAAACATCTCCACCATTCAGAAAGCTCTGCTGGCCAGCACTGCCTTACATAATCAGTCCTTCATTCCTATAGTAAGAGTTACACGCTACCTCCAATACCTGAGCCATTCCAAGATTTGATACAGTAAATCAACTTACTTCTTGTTGCCTTCTCTTGTGGCAGACTCAAGTTGAAACCTTCCTAATTCTGCTAAAACAGATACTCCCAGGACCCCAGCCAGCCTTCATTTGACTCACAAAAGGTAACCCCTTGGAAATGAATGGAATGCACATTTGTAGAAGGAAATGACAACTTCTGGATGTATGCAAAGCCTGAGCCAGGACACAAAGCTTTGAGGTAGTGTGGGCTGCTGCTTCACTGGCAAGTGCTTCTCAGCCAGTTATTCTTGTGCCATCAAAATAGAGGCAACAGTCACCACTCTTCCATTTATTTTCCATTTTCTAAAATTCTGTTGACCTCTCTTCCCCATTGTCCACTTCCTATTCTTTGTCCTTCTGGATTTATATCTCAGTTTATTCCTTAACTATCACTTTTGCTGATCCTACACAGATTTAGTCACATTGAACTAGAATCAATATCTTCCACTTGTATCTTGTTCTTTTTGTTATGCTTTATCTCAGTGGCAAGAATGTATTGCAATGAATCTCACAACAAATCCCAAATACATTCATAACTGAGTAGAAGAAAAGTAGAGATGTCAGAGTCTATGTTTTAAGAAAAAATTGAAAATCAGAATTATCAGTCCACAAGTAGAAAGTTAATATCTGGGTTTTCCAAATGCTATTCTACAACTCAACACTAAAACTCCTATCCAAGTCAAAAAGTCACTGCTTAGAAAAACTCCTTTAGAATATACTACCTAAACAATCAAGTTTGCTTGTTTAGTGTCTTTTTTATTTAACAAATGTAAAACATAACAAGCAAAATTATGAACAAAAAATGAGAGAAGACAAGTATTTTTGTTACATACCTGTGCTGGTGGTACTTGCAATGGATTGTTATCCAAAATTATTACTTGTAAATGATGGAGCTTCCTGTAACAAACTGGAATTTCTGTCACTTTATTACAAGAGAAATCCAGCTTGACCAATGGAAGATCTCCTAACTCTGTTCAGAAATGAAAAATTATTAATTTAAAGTTTACATAGTTACTCTCTGTGAGTAGAAACAGTGAACATCTTACCTTCTGGCAAAACATGAAGATTATTTCTTCTGATATTTAGTTCTCTAAGTGAATGTAATTTTCCCATTTGTTGAGGAAGGACCTGAATCTCATTACAACTAATATCCTAAAGAAAATAAAATAAGAAAGTAGAATTTTAACAAACTAACTACAAAATACAAATATATTATAATTTAAAAATTAGAGCATATAGCTAATAGCTAGCAAAAGTTACCTCTAATGTTATTTATATCTGGAAGATTTTTATTTATAATGCATCATGAAGTCATAGCACAGTCAACAGAATTTCTTCTGTGTAAAATTTTGAAATTATAACTTAGAAACTACATAAGTCAACTTCTCAAAAACCTCAACTAATGACCAAACTTCACCCTTAAAACCAAAAGTAAAGATGATACAGGTGCTAGTATTAGTATCTCTCTGTATTAGTCAGCTTTCCCATTGCTTGACACAATACCCAACATGCACAATTTAAAGTAAGAAAGGTTTAATTTAGTTCACAGTTTGGGAGGATTCTCTCCATAACCACCTGGCTCCAAGGCAAGAACATCATGGAGAAAGAGCATGGTGGAACAAAGCTATGTATGGCAACCAGGGAGCAGAGTAGGGGAAAAACACCAGAGGGGATTGGCTGAGGGAACACATATAGTACCCAAAGCCACACCTCCATGACCCACCCAGACACCCAGTAGTGTGCTCTATTAATCTGTTAGGCATTTCTTCATCCAATGAAGTTGACATATCAAGATTAGCAATCACAATCCACTTCTTGCTAACTTCACACCCAAACACATCTCTTTAAACTATACTTAATCTCCACATAAAGACAGTAACAACTTCATAATTCTGCCTTACATAATACAACAATCCTGAATACAACCAGAAATGCAATAATCCTTCCTGCAAAGTCTCAACAGTTCCAGCATTTTTCAATAGTCCAGGTTCAAGTCTCTTCTGAGACACAAGCCAAATTCTTAACTGTGAACCTCTGTGAAAAATCAAAAATATGTTACATAATCCCAAAGTATAGTGATCCCTTGTTTGTCGAATTCAATTTGTTCCAAATTCACTTTCAAACACAAAAAAGTTCAAGAATTGAACTTGTTTCTCCTATAAGAAATAATGGAAAACCAAATAATTGGTTCTGAGGCTCAAAAATTACACTTGTAAATTCATTTTTCTCAGGCTTCACAAATTTCACAATGATTTCTTTAATTCTATTGTGGATCTCACAGTTTTCCTCTTAGCTTTACTGCTGGTATCACTAACTTTCTTTGTAGCCATAGTTATATTTTATGCAAATAAAATGCAAAAAAAGCACAATGATGAATATTGTGATGCAGTAACACAAGCACTACATGAGATCTGTTGTGAAAGCAACACTTAGAATGAAGTGGCACCCCTTTGTGTCCACAGTGAGATGTGACATGTGATTCACTCTTGGTTCATAAATGTTTTTCAAGTCAGATTTTCAGTTTGACTATTGAGCAAAGTTATGAACAAAAAGAGGATTATTTTAAAACTTTGCTGTTTAAGTAGTGGGAAGTTCAAGCTTGGAGCTGTTTGGCAACTGAGGTATCGCTGTATAATGGCACAGGATAAATACTCCCATTTCAAAAGGAAGGAAAAGAACCAGTTGAAAGCAAAACCAAAAACCAGCAGGGCAAAAACTGAGTTCTGAAGCTTCATGTCCAACATCCTGGACACACAGTAGTAAAATGTGAATTCCAAGGGGACTGAGTGGTCCCACTCCTGTGGCCTTGCCAGTTGCAGCCCAGAAGGCTCCTCTCTTCTGCTGGCTTAATTCATGGTCTATACCTTTCCTTGGCTGATGTTCCACATTCCTGGCATCTCCAATTTTCTGGGGTCTCTAGTGAACCTTTGTCTTTATTCCCACAACTTCATATCTTGTTATTTCAAGAGCTCCTTGACAGGCCTCTCACACATTCCTGTGAAATCTGGATGGAAACCTCCTGACCCCACATCTTTTGCATCATACATGTCAGTAAAACCAGCATCAAATGAATGACAACACCAATGTCTGCTGTTGGTGGAAGAAGTTGCCAGGTCCCCTTAGGCCATGGGTGCAGCAGCCTCTGAGTGTCTCTATTGCTGAGCACGGTGAAATGGATCCCAGGGAACCAATTTCCTAAGGGGAATGATTTCATTTAGCTCAAGGTTTGGGAGATTTCAGTCCATAATCACCTGGTTCCAAAGCAGGAAAATCAGGGTGGAAGGGCATGGCTGAGAAAAGATGCTTAGTTAATGGTGGCCAGAGAGCAAAGCCGAGAAACAATGTCAGAGAGAAATGGGCAAAGGAATATATGCAATACCCAAGGCTACACCTCCATGACTTTAGATACACATCGTTAGTCTGCTAGGCATTTCTTAATCTAATGAAGATGACATATTAGGATTAATGGTCACAGTTCCTGTTAGTTCCTTTATATAATCCATCTTGCTTCTCATTTTTTCCCCATTCCTCTGCCTTCCCTTCAACCATTCCACCCCTCCCCATTTATGAAGACTTTCTTTCCATTTTTTCATTTTCTCATATTAATTCCATTCCCTTTCCTTTCTCCTACTTGGTCCCAAAAGTGCTATAAAATCACATGAGCATGTAGTAAAAGAGACATTATATTGTTAATCGAACTGTTCTCAAGCATTATACTCTTATCTCCATTCTACAGCTCTAGAGGACCCCTGTAAAAACTTTTAAAAAACTTTTCCTAAGAACTTTACTGTATACAAAATGAATAAAAATGCTTATTTATTTGAAAAACAATTTTTAAAGCTCATAAACAAGTATTCTAATTTTACTAGAACTAAGGAGCAAGCAGGCTTTTTGTGGCTTATAGCCAAAATCAGACACAGTGATACCTCAAAAATTTACTAAAGTGAATTTAAACACATACCAAAGTATTTCTTTTCTTAAAATTGCATTGAAATTCTATAAAGAAATGAGTAGTCTACCAAAATAGTAACAGTATATATTATATACATTATCTCTACCTATATATAAAAATACAACTATTTTACTCACCAATTCCATTAAATCTTTTAACTTCCCAATTTCTTCTGGAATGGATACCAGCTTGTTATTACTGATGACCAAAACTTTAAGGGGCAGATCAAATAGATATTTTGGCAATGTTGATAAAAGATTTCGACTGAAAAGAGTAAGAAAGTCTAGTTATGAGAAATGCTTGAAATTTGATATGCTGTTTTGAAAAAGAACAAATTGCCTCAAAAGTAAATAAAAGCTTTCAGTAAGCAACAACAACTATTTATTGAGTGCTCACTTTGTATCAGGCACAGGTAAATTTCTTACATACAGTGTCTTATTTAATCCCCACATTTAGCCCCACAAGATAGGTGATATTACCTCCATTGCACAAATAAGAAAATGATGGTTACAACTGGTTGTGTGACTTGCCCAGACATAGAGGATATTCAAACAGCAAATCTGACTACAAAATGTGTGCTGTCATCTATGATATTGTCCTCCACAACACCAGTACCCAAAAACTCAGAATGATTCTTCTACTAGATTATGCCAGAATCTTGTGCTCAGGTATAACTTCAGTGTATTTAATACCTACATGCTTGTAACCAGGGAAAGGTTCCAAGGATAAAGTTCCACGTACTATGTTCAAATTTATAAAAACAAGGAATAAGATTATATCTTTTAAAACATGCAGTAACTCTAACCCACTGCCTTTTGTTAGTTATCTCAACTCAATGTTAAACAACATTCTTCTCAGATACATTTACAGTATAACAACAAGTGAGTACTTTGTGCCAGGCAATGTTCAGAGCACTTCACATGACTTAATTCAACTAGCCCTCATAATAAACCTACTTTAGGAAGACAGATGCTGTCATGATCCCTATTTTACAGATGAAAAAAGTCACAAAGAGATTAGTAAACTGCTCAAAATCACATAGCTGGCAAGAGGGCTAGCCAGGATTTAAACCCAAGCAATGTGCTTCTGAGATCTCAAACTATTAGTCTGATGCAGACTGGTGTAAACGATCCCACTATCACAATATACACAAGGTTGCAGTCCATTTACATGCTACCAAGTGACAAACAATAAGCTATTATCTTTCTTATTTTTCAAAGTAACATTTATAGACCTGTGCCTAGCATTTTCTGTAATGTGCACAGCAGCAAGAGCCCAGTGTTATTCAAGGGAAGGCTTTAAAATCCTTCATATCATCTTGTCCCTGGAAAGAACATCTGGAAACACTAGACAGAATGCCTTTAACAATATGGCACTTGGGGAAAAAAGACTTGAAAACAAAGTCGATTTTCCTCAACTAGTAATCCTGGTCAGGCCACTGGAATGACTAATATGCTGGGGAGGGGGCTGTCACAAATCCTTCATACTTTCAAATCAAGCAGACTCTGAGAACATAATCTTTCTGTGCCTTTTCACAGTGGAGCACACAGCACCTTTCTGCAAGATTCTACTGAAAAATGGGAGTAGTACACAGAAAAGAGGAAAAAATAATCTTAAAAACTTATCAAGACACTTTCACCAAAATAAAATAGTAAATGGGAAAATATGAGTAAACTCATTCTAATTTTTCCCTCAGGCTAAAATCAGTTTATTTTATCCCCACATCCATCCCGGTACTGGGGATTGATCCAGGGCCTTCACTCTGAGCTATATCCCCAGGGCTTCCTTATTTACTTACTTACTTATTTATTTATTTTAAATTTTATTTTAAAAATCTGTGACATGGTCGAAGCCACTTAATTGTCCAGATGAGGTTCAAGCTTGCAATTCTCCTGCCTCAGCCTCCCAGAGCTGGCTTACAGGTATGCATCACCATACCCAGCAAGAAGTTTCTTAAGTGAGTTATTAGCAGTTGTCTTTCTCCAGAATTTGATTTCTTTATACATAAGTCACCAATCATTGCTTTTTAAAAACTATATA